CAATCATCCTACCGCTTGTCCAGCTATAACCTTACCTGTGAGGCGTTAGATTGCAGGAGTGGGAAGAATCCCTGCTCCCAGTGAGAGCTGACAGGAAATAGAGAGACTTCATTGTAACAATCACCTTAATTACTACAATATTTCACAATTTGATAGAAAAAAATTCGAAGGATTGAATTTCTTGTATTGTATATTTTCAAAAGTTACAAAAATCCCAGTAGAATCACATCCATAACTTCTAACATTTTTACCATGACTAATCTGTAATTTCCCCTAAAGATTATCATGAGAAAACTAGCGCCTGCTGCCTGATGGATAGTATGCATGTAACCAATAACTCACCCTTTATTTGTTTACAGACACATAGCTCTCTCTCTCTAGGTAGTAAAAGATGTTATTGTTATGCAGTCTTTATTGATTTTAATTATTTGATTTAAGTCTTGTTCAACTGAATGCCCAGTGGAGCCTACTGAACAAGAACAACCCCAGTGTGTTTTATTGGGTGAGATTCCAGCCTGGTATGCAGACCATTGACTGCTTATGAATACCTCTTAATAAACTACTTTTGTTTTACTCAAAGCTGATCCAGTAATCCATACAGAACGAAAAGTATCAGTGGTTAAATAATTCTTATAATCCTTGCATTTGATATAGCGGCTTATCACATTGTTGAGACATTACAAAGTGCTTCACAGAATATATATAGTAAAATGTAGTGAACGCTTGCATCCTGCAATAACTGGGCTGGAAGGCTTTGGCACTGCTTCCAACCCAATAATGGCTTAGTCTCATTTTACAAAGATTTACAAAGAATGTACAGCACAGAAATAGGCCACTCGGCCCAACCATGTTGGTGTTTATACTCCATAGAAGTCTTCACTCGTTCCTTATTCCCTTTCATACTCTTTCATTCCCTTCCCTTCATGTGAAGGTCCAGCTTCCTCTTGAATGAATCACTATCTGATTCAACCACCGCTTCAGGTAGTGAATTCCATAATCTCACTACCTTCTGCGTGAAGTTGTTCCTCCTAAATTGCCTTTCAGATTCCCTAATCACTATCTTATACCATCAAGTATCCTTTGCATGCCTTTCAATTGAACAAGAATATAAATACAACTATACATCATTTGAGGCTGTCAGGCCACCTGCAGGGAAATAGTTCTACAACAATTCATTTCTTTTTGATTTGAAACCCAACATTTATTGTAAATTGTTTTTATGTGGTAACTACATACGGGGAGAAATTCCACCTAGGTCTAGATTTTTTTTAATGATAATCTATGCAGTAACAGTAAATTTTATTTATTTGGTAATTAGGTGTCTGTAGCAGAAGCTGAAAGGGGAACTATCAAGATAGACCATTGGTGTTTCAGGGGAAAAATTATGCAAGTGTTTTTGTTTTGGCCATGATGACTTATGTGAAATGTTTGGGCATGCTCAAGTTACAATGGCTAGCTGGTAGCACTCTTGATTCTTGAATCAAACCATTTATCAGACCTCAAGAAAAAATAACTAAATTGGTCACTTCAATCCACGACTGTTTGTGGGACACTGCTGTGTGCAATTGACTGCCGCGTTTCGCCCACAAATATACAGTCAATTCACTTTAGGTATATTCTGTGAAGCGCTTTGAGACATCTAGACGACGTGAAAAATGCTATATCAAATGCAAGGATTATTATTATAGATTTACTCTGTTAATATTTTAGCATTCTGGAGCATCTAGAATTTGGCCAATTGTTGAACTGAATCTTAACTTTGAAGTCAGTTTTTTGTAACTCTTAAAAGAACTTGGAAAAAATGGCTTCAAATTATGGCTTCAGTTAAGAATTCGCCAAATTACACATGCTCTGAATTATTACATGAATGGATTAAATCTTGACCCAGGTAGAATTTTTTTTAGCATTCTAAATTATTAATTCTGAGTATACTAATAAGGTTGAGGCTTTTTCTAGTAATTTTGGTGACCTGATAACCATATGAATGAAGTTCATGTTCTGCAATTATTAATTTGAATTCAGAAATTAAATTACACTTTATACTTATATAGCACCTTTCATGTAGGGAAATGCTTCTAAGGTGGAAGTTTCACAAAGGTGAAATGGGATCCAGAGTAGGGTAAGAGATGGGGTGGGGGGGGGGAGTGGAGGGGGGAGGAGTTCATAGGAGTAGAGACAGGACAAGAGTTTGGAAGACGTTGAAGGTCATAATAAGCTTCTTAAAGTCAATCTTCTGAGAAACAGGGAAGCCAGAAGAATGGGAATGATGAGTTCATCGTAGCTGGCATGAGATAGAGCTGTGGAGCTCTGTATAATCTGGAGCTTGGAAAGGGTTGAGCTGGGAAGGCCAGCAAATAGGCATTGGACAAATCATATCTGAAGGTGCCATGGATGCTATTTTGTCTGCAGTGGGAGTGAGGTCGGAATGGAGAGAGGCAATATTGTGGAGTTGGAAGAAGGCAGACTTGGTCAAGGACCATATGACAAGTTTAAACAATAATAAATTAAATAAAAAAATAAATTGGTCATTTTCAATCTACGACTGTTTGTGGGACATTGCTGTGTGCAATTGGCTGCCGCATTCGCCCACAAATATACAGTCAATTCACTTTACAGTCTATTCTGTGAAGCGCTTTGGGATGTCCTCCCGACGTGAAAAGCGCTATATCAAATGCAAGGATTATTATTATTAAAGGAGACATGAGGGTGGACAAAAATTGCACATTAGGTCCATGATCTGAAGTGGGTTGCCTCGTAGGTTAATAATAATTTGGTCACTGAATTCATGATTATCTGTGGGACACTGCTGTGCGCAACTGGCTGCTGCGTTTTGCTCACAAAATATACAGTCAATTAATTTTCCATTATATTCTGTGAAGCGCTTTGAGGTGACTCGAAGATGTGATAAGGCGTTATAACAAATGCAAGGATTATTATTATATGATAGTCAGAAACATGGGTGAGTAGGGTCGAGGAAGAGCCAAACAGGATGACTTCAGTTTTGTCAGAACTCAGTTGATAAAAGTTAAGGCTCATCCTGGACTTGACTACAACCTTATGGTCACACCAAACTATAAGCACTGTTTATAGTATATGCTGTAGTCACCAGAAATGAAAACAGTAGTATGTAAAGATAAAATAAGAGTTAAAATGACATTGTTTTAAACCTCTGAGTAGCTATTAATGAAGTAAGTGATGCAAAATAACACAATCACATGATTTACAAGGAATTATTTTTCAATTTTAAAGCAGAATTAGAACTGAATTAAGATCTTTGCATATATATTGCAAAACTCTATTGGTTCCAAAGTGTGGAGATAGACTTATATAATGCAATAAAAGCAGAAAGATTTAGGATAATTTAAGACAAAGATAAGGTGAGAATGGTGATCATTTAACATCTTAAATTTGCTTTCTGATAGTAAACAAACATGTTAGAATCCCTCTATCCCACTGGTTATTAGATATATGCTAATCCAGCTTTGTAAAAGAATGCAGGATTGTTGCTGAAGTTGTTATTGAGCTGAAAGCTACCAGTCATTAAGAGTCCAACTGAGGTTATTTTACGACAATTCTGAGCTTCCTCAACTAATTCTAAATACAGGGAAATAAACAATTTGAATAAAAACAAAAATGTTTTAATAACTACATTACAACACAATAAGAATTTGCCTTATATAATAAGGCAGAAAGATTTGATGAAGGTGATCAGTTTTAAAAAAACAAACACAAATTCACTGCACAGATTTTTCAAGCACTTCAGCTCTCAGTACACATACTGACCACTGAGTTACGCTGTTGCTACTTCATGTAGAACAACTAACTGAATCAATGTGGTGGAAATTTTCAGTGAAAGTCTATTCCGCCAAAGTGTCTGTTTATACTGCACAGGCTTTTGTGGCTATTCTGACGTGATCCACGAAGATTTTATTCTGTGTAGCCTGAGCCGGTTTACACAGACAGCACAGCATGGATCACACTCATGACACTGCTACTTTGCTCTGCTTTTGTTAAGTGCATCATTTTAATTTTCACACCTGTAATAATCAGATACAATAAAAAAACCTTGCATTTGGTATAGTGCTTTTCAGATCGGATGATGCCTCAAAGCGCTTCACAGGATTTTATTGTGAAGTCTAGCGAATGTGAATTTGGTAGGCAAATGTGGCAGTTAATTTGCGCACAGCAATGTCCCACAAACTGCCATAAAATGAATGGATAATTTTTTTTTTCCCCTCTGGCCCACCCGATCTTCAATGTTCACCTGAACAGACAGATGTGACCTTGAGTAAAATTACCAATATTATCTGGGAGGTTGTTGACCAAGATGCCAGGAAAAACTCCCTTCGCTTTCGAATTGTGCCAAGGGATTTTTAGCTTCCAACTGAACAGGCAGATCTGAAGGGCGGCACCTCTAAAACTGCCACACAACCCCTGTACAGCACTGTACTTGAGTGTCAGCCTAGGTTGTGAGTTCAAAGTCCTGACTCAGAGAGGAGAGCGCTCCTAACTGAGCCAGGATGACACCCGTGTATAAACCTCGAGTTTTTGTAGTATTTCTTAGTGTATAACCTGTGCATTTGCAGGCTGTAAAGGGAGAACATAACTCTTTTGGACAGATTGAATCAACACCTATCCAAGCAAGGAGGCATTGGACAAATCATATCTGCAGGTGCCAAAGCCATGGATGCATTGTTGTCTGCAGTGGGGGTGAGGTAGGAATGGAGAGAGGCAATATAGTGGAGCTGGAAGAAAGCGGACTTGGTCAAGGACCAGACAACAAGCGTAAAGGAGACAAACAAGCATTGCCAGTTTTGTGAAAGGAATGGAATTTGCACCAGGTATAAGTGGAGACCTCAGCCTTGACTCAGTCGCTCCTACAACCCCCCCAGAGCGCTGTCAGGTGGATGATTGACGTGCGCTTTGTTGTCACGTTGCTGGGTGACGCAGGCCGTTGCCATGGCTGAGGTGGAACACTATCGCTTGTCCAGAGCAGGAGGCACCAGCCTCAGCGCAGCTCAGCGCTGTGGGCACTGTGGCTGTGGGGGACCTGAGGGGATGACATGAAGATGGAATTCTCTAAGGTGAGTAAAATATGTACACACGTAAAGCCAAGCATTCAAGTTGCCGGTTTATACCTTCCAAACTTCCAAATAGTTTCGGGTTATACCGTTTTTTAAAACACTAGAATTAAACTAAATCAGGTAAAAACACCTTATTATTTGCAGATCACATGGCTAAATATGCACAAACTGCATTAATTAAAGATGTATATCTATTGAAATATAGTTATATTTCCATTTCTTTTTCTACAGTTTTAAAATATAGTATTAATCCTTTGGTATAGCGCCTTTCACGTCAGGAGGATGTCTCAAAGTGGATCACAGGGGTTACTGTTAAGTAGAGTGACTGTATTTATGGGAAAACATGACAACCAATTTGTACGCAGGAATGTCCCACAAACATGAAGTGAATGATCAATTTTATTTGGGGGATTGTTGGCCAGGATACCAGGAGAAACTCCCTTCTCTTTTCAACTAATGCCATGGGATCTTCAACATCATCTGAAAAGGCAGATGAGACCTCAGTTTGCCAGCACCGCATTGAAATTTTATCTTAGACTATGTGATTTTAAGTCCCAATGTGGCACTTGAACCCAAAACCTTCTGACTCAGATGTGAGAGTGCAACCACTGAGCCAAGCTAACACATATAATACACTGTGAGTATACATGTCAGACTGTCTGAGTTAGAAGCATTTCTGGCTCTGTTTAGTACAGCAACAAACAACAACAACTTGCACTTATATAGCGCCCTCCATGCAGGGTAGTGTCTCAGAGCACTTAACTGTGGTGGAGCCTGACTCTGAAAGGTGGGCGGTGGGAGGTAGCCATAAGCACAGTCAAAGAGGAAAGTTTTCAGGGGGCTTGAAAGAGGGGAGAGATGGGACAAGGCGGAGGGATTGAGGGAGAGTGTTCCAGAGTTTTGGGGCGCAGTGGCTGAAAGCACAACTTCCAATGGTGGGGCATAAGTTGCAAGGGATGAGCAGGAGGCCAGTGCAGTTGAGTGGAGGCGCTGGCTGGTGGATTGTGGAGTGAGGAGGTCGGAGAGGTAGGGAGGTGCCAGGGAGTGAATGGATTTGAACATGTGCGTGAGGATCTTGAAGTCAAAAAGGACAGAATCTTGAAGGTTGAGGTAAGAGGAGAGGCAGTGGAGGAGGATAGAGTGGTCCACAGTGTCGAAGGGGGCAGAGAGGTTGAGAAGGACGAGGAGACAAAGGGAGCCCTGGTCACAGAGGGACAGAATGTCATTTGTCACCTTGACCAGGGCTGTTTCCGTGCTGGGGGTTGCACGGAAACCCAATTGGCGGGGTTTGTAAAGGGTGTGGCAGCAGAAGAAGGAGCGAAGCTGAGAAGCAACAAATCTTTCAAGGACCTTGGGGAAAAAAAACGGAGGTTGGAGATGGGGCGGTAGTTAGTGAGTAGGGGTGGGTCCAGGGAAGGTTTTTTTTAGGATTGGGGTGATGACAGCTGTTTTTAGGGGGCTGGGAACAGTGCCAGTTGACAAGGAGAGGTTGAGGAGGTCTGAGAGTAAAGAGGTGAGGAGATGGAACTGGGAGATAAGGAGAGGGATAGGGATGGGGTTGAGGGAGCAGATGGTAGGCTTCATGTGGGTTATAGTGGTGGTAATATAATAGGGGTGGGGTTGACGGAGCAGGTGGTGGTGATTATATATTATAGATATGTAGTAATTGCATAAATGATTAATTCTCAATGATACAACTTTATTTCAGTTCCACAGATTGTTTCTTTCTCAAAAATATCCTCCTTTAAAGCTTCAAATTCTTTAATTTTTGATTTAAAAGAACAATTGTACCATGGGGAAGAAATCTTCCTTCAAACAATAGTTCAGTAGTTCTGAAGTGAAATAATTTGGGGGGATAAACAGCAATGCCAAAGAACTTCAGAGTGTGCTATATCTGTGGGAGAGAGTTTGGATCAAAGTCAATTGATTTCCATGAACCCCAGTGCCTGAAGAAATGGCATATTGAGAATGATAAACTACCAAAACACCAAAGAAGACCTGAACCGATAAAGCCACAGGCTTTGAAAGCTGGTGGTTCAACTGACGTTCAAGCTTTAAATGAAGCAGCTTGGGAAAGTGTAACTGCCCAGTATGTACCCTGTGAAAACTGTGGTCGAACATTTCTACCCGATCGCCTCATTGTACATCAGAAAAGCTGCAAACCAAAAGATGGAAGCATGTCATCTTCACAATCAACATCACCTCAGTCAAGTTCGAATTACAGTTCAGTAAGTGCTTTAATGGTGTTTGTAATAGATAGCTTATATTAAAGTGAAACGTTTCCACATCCTTAATTGCTACATTTATAGAAGTAAAATCAATATCAAATGCTCAAGTCAGTAATGGAAGTGAAAGTTGAGTTGGTTGACAAGTGACAAGAGATATAATCAGTAAAACTGGATAAAGGCTGCTTACGTCTAGGGCAATACAAAAGCAAACCTATTAAACACCAAAACTTTACTTCAATTCAGAGCAAACAATAGTTGTGTATTCAAGACCTCACCAGCTCACAGAGCAAGAATATCACTTCAAGCCCACTGCCTGATTTCTTGCCATATCCCTTCAAACTCCTCTCTTTCATATTCCTGTCTATTTCCCTCTCAAAAGCTACAGTGGACTCTGGCATTCACCGCTACTCGGCATGGCATTCCACATCCCAACAGCTATCTGGGTGAAAAAATTCCTTCCAAGTTCTCCTTTCACTTGTGGCTATCTTGTAACTGTGTCCCCTCATCAATGGCTCCCCTATGAATGGAAATAACTTTCCCCTTATTTACCCTGTCATAATTTTGTACACCTCAAGCAGGTCCCAACTCAACCTCACCAGCTCCAATGAAAACAGATCCAGCTTCTCCATTTGATCCTCATAACTGTAGCCCTTTATCTCCAGAATCATTCTCATAAGCCTCCTCTGCACCCCTCTACAGCCTTTTCTGAAGTGATGGGCCCCAAACTGGATGCAATACTCCAGTTGTGGTCTAACCAATGATTTGTACAAACATAGCGTTACTGCTTTACCTTTGTTGTCCATGCCCCTGTGTGTAAAACCCAGCATGGTTTATGATGTTATACTCTCATAATTTAACACAGTATGCACTGTTAACATCATTGTATCAGCCTCTATGTCTCACTAGTGCTTTAACATAAGTAAATAACTGAGAAACAGAGTTGTCAATTAAAAGCATTCACGCCACAATTTCAAGTGCCGTACCACTTTATATACAACTATTTTATAAATGACACTAAAGAGGAAGTTAAAAGCTGAAATTTATTCTGTTTCACTGATTTTTAAATTATCATTGGTTAGGCCGCAACTAGAGTATTGGGGTCAGTTTTGGGTCCTTCACTTCAGAAAAGGCTGTAGTAGAAAATCTGACACAAGTCAGAAAATAATTTTCTTTCATTAATGTTTAGATTTTAACTTTTCACCAACTGAAATCACAAAAGGAAAGCCCTAACAGACAAAATCAGATTTAACTTTCTGAATAAATTTAGCACACTCAAGGGTATAATAAAACATATACTGAATGCTGGTTTATTCAGTCTGTTATTGGCGAACTATTGACTCTGGCTTCATGACTTGTAACACTCTATATCATTGCTGTAAACCTCAGGTTAATGGTTTTCTCTTTTTGCCCTCAATGGTAGTTCATTTCTTTGTAAATAAAAAGGCTTTAAGTAGCATAGATAATTTCCTGGGTCAATACAATGGGCATTTTAAAGCTGATAGACAACCACTTACTTAGCATTTATAAAATGGTTATGAATTCTGTTGTATAGGCTGTCTCTAATTGGCACTCAAAATTCTCACAGAGATTTGTTTTTATAGATGCATTATATTCAAACCGTGGGGCATCTCTGTATCATCAGAAGCATTTGCAGTTTTAGCCGCAGTATGAGAAACCATACACAAAATTCTAAACTAATGGTCTCAACTATTCTTCCACCCAGGGATGAGTTTTGTTTCACTGTATAGTGGTATGGTATTATTCTTTCCACAGTGCATAATGCTAAATATAAGAAGCAATATATAAAATACCCCTATTAATAGCAGTGCAAGATTTTAGAGTCATGAAGCTAAGACAGGAAAACAGCCCTTTTTAGGCAGCAAAACAAGAGGTACTCCATGTGATGTATTCAGCTGAGCCACACACTTAAGGTCAAGAGATTGTAGCCATAGTATTATTTTATGCTTCTGTTGCTATGGTTGACAGCTAAACATAAATCAATCAGTGTAAGGACTAGGTAGTAAGGAATGGATTGTTTGCCATTATCTAATAGGGGACAATAACCTTATCAGGTACCAAATCCTCCCACCGCCCAATTTTTATTTTGTTTATATTCAATTGGAGAGATGAGGCGCTACTGCCACATGTAACCATTCCTCTCAGTTGCTATGGAAAAATAAATATTGTGGGTGGCACCGAAGCACAAACAGCAAAAGAGGATGAAAATCATGTTTTTTTATTCATTTGGTGAAGTGTATTTCTCTGGGCTGCTGAATGAAATAAACTTCAAATTTGTAGGATTAATAATTAATATTTGTATTATTGTTAAAAACCATTGTGAAGATCAGATCAAAATTTTGTTCCATGTTTACTCGTTTTTTGCAATTGTATTTCTCTTATTCAACTTTGTGGAGAATCAAAATTTATATTATTTTGCTGGTCCCATATCACAAATATTAAGCTTTGAAAGTTCTATATTCTATTATTATTATTGACTTGTCACACCAGTTTTCAGGCCTAAAATTAAGTGATATTGTCTCCAGCCACGAATAGCGAGACGCCCAACAACAATTATCTGTTACATTTGCGGCCGAGAGTTTGGAACTACATCTATAAGTATCCATGAACCCCAGTGTTTGAAAAAATGGCACATTGAGAATGATAAGCTTCCAAAGCATTTACAGAGGCCTGAACCCAAGAAAGTTGCAGTCATGTCTTTAACAGGTAGGTGGAAATCTGAGCTCATAATCTTAAATTGTTTTATTGTATTTTTTAAAAGGTGTGCATGTGTGTTGGGGGTGCTATTTGAATTAATTGGTAAAACATTCAATTCAACAAGATGCATCCTTAAATCGGAACTAAAGTTAATGGTTTAAAAAAAATCATATTCATTTAAATTATACAGGAACTACCAAATGGCTGATACTAAATGGAGGTTTGACAATTAAATATTATAAGGAAGGGAAAATCGAAGGATAATGTATTTTGCTATTCTCGCACATTCCCTAGTAATGGATTTGTGTCAGTTGCTTATAGGTTAGGTAATAATACAAGATATGGGGAACTTGTATCATTAAGGAGGGTAGACAAACCTTTTTTTCATGGAAAGAATGGAAAGAAAACACCTCAAATATATTTTCAACAGAGGTGCCTGTGGAGGTGCTTATTAATACTGTACATTGTGTTCATTTCAAGATTAAGTTTTTTTTTAAAAATCTGGTCTGTGTTTACAGTTCATATAACTTTGAAATGGTAACTTTGGAGAAATGCTAGCATAAATGATGTCATGGACTAGAAAAAACACCTCAGGACATAAAGATATTCTCTTCCAGGAACCATATACAGTATGTGAACTTGCAAATATTTAGCTTTTAGTGAACTTAAGTTGGAGTTGAGTTCTTATGGGGAGTCAATGTGAAATACTTGATCTTTATGAAGTGCTTCATCCTACATGAAAGACATAAGCTAAGTTCAAGATTCACTTCACATATGGGAGCACTTTATTGGATGAAAGGCTCCATTTATTCTATGATTTTCCTGATAAGACATTTTCAGCCCCAATGTGGTAATCTTCCCAATTTCAACTATTTGCCATTAATGTATCCACAAGACTGACTTCTTTCCATTTTAATACAAATAATAGGAATTGCAGTTCAACGAGTGTTGGGTGCAAAGTAGTGTTGCATTTGAATTACTGTATAATAAAAGGGACAAAGTTCCACAGGCAGCAAAACTAGTGAATGAAGGTTGAGTGCAGAATTTCTAAAATTATACAGATTGCTGATACACACTTGACATAATAAACATTCAGATCTTGATTAAGTACTTGCAACTCTTGTGGGTTATTACTGGCAAGCTTCCCACATCTCTCTAGCATTGTAAAGAGTGAACTCTGAAACTGAGCAGCAATTAAGTTTTTATTACTTGGGAAGATTTTCTTCGGCTCCAATCTGTTGTTGTATTTACACAGCAAAATAGTCTGGTGCCCATTGGGAATAGAATCAGTGAGCTGTAACATGTCAGAAAGATTTTGATCTGCATTCTCTTGCTGTCTGCATTTGAAACCCAAGGTGCACATTTCCCCTGACATTTAGCATGGTACATTAAAGAGAATGTGGCTTAATTGCTATAATAATTGAACACCACCTTCTGAGAAGGGCAGCGTTGTTCCTTAATGCTAAGTATGCCTCACTACTTCATGATACAGCTGTAAAAGAGGAGCCAAAGGATCGCAACCTGATAAGTGTCTCAACAAGATGAAAAACTTCAGTACATGTCACACCAAGAACTGAAGAATTATGTGGTAGAAACAGAAGAGCAAGATTAAGAAAAAGTAATCTGAGGAAAGTTTAGTATTCTGTTGTGGCCCAGCAGGCATTGGTAAATGAGGTTATGATGAGAAATAAAAGGAAGTACTGGTTGAATGTCAGAGAAGCTAGAGTAGAAAAAGAGATTGGGACAAAGTTATAGTGCAATTAATAATAATAATAATCCCCGCGTTTTACATAACGCCTTCGAAACATCTCAAAGTGCTTCACAGAATACACTGTAAAGTGAATTGATTGTATATTGATTGCAGCAGTACATAGCAGTGTCCCACAAACAGTTGTGGATTGAGTGACCAAATTATTATTTTTTTTAAGGCATTTTTACCCCCGGAAACACCATATGCCACTCGACTAACAACCGGGTTCCTACATACTGCTAGGTAAACAAACAGAAGCGTCTGGAGTAAGGAAACTTGCCCTGTGTTTCGCCCTGCCGAGGAATCAAACTCAGGTCCTCTCACTTGCAAGGCGAGTGCTGAATAGATAAATTGATAGATTGGCAAGCAAAGAGGAAGCAACTAAGGCGATAAGGCCATGACAATGCTACTCACACCTTGCTACATTCCCCAGCCTCCTTTCCCGTTGTGAGAGAGAGAGAGAATTAATCCTTTAAGGAGGTGAGGAAAAAAATAATATGATTTGAAGAGTGAAAATATATCTGCCACAATTGATACTATTGCCTAAGGCTATCGGTTACAATGTATAACTTAAATGTTCAAGACTCTTTCAATTGAATTTAGCTACGTTGACCCGATCAGTTTTCAAGGAGATGCAGATGACTTAATAGCGTAAACAAGATGTGTACATATAAGGGGGACACCCCAAAAGTAATGCCTCCAATTTATTTTGTGAAGAACTGGAAGAGGTACAGTTATGAAAAACGTACACAAGGTACTCTTGTGGAGTCCCATAATGTATTGGTCAGAGCGCTCCCCTGCAAGCAAGAGGACCCATGTTCGATTCGGGGCGAAACCTTACTTTCTTTGCTCCACACGCTTTTCCTTACTCCACATGCCTCTGTTTACCTAGCAGTAAGTAGGAACCTGCTTGTTAGTCGATTGTCGGATCGCTTTCAGGGGTAATAATCCCTTCAAAAATTAAATAATAATTTGATCACTCAATCCACAACTGTTTGTGGCACACTGCTGTGCACAATTGGCTGCCGCATTTCGCCCTCAAAACACAGTCACTACACTTTACAGAATATTCTGTGCAGCACTTTGAGACATTTCAACAATGTGATAAGGTGCTATATCAAATGTAAGGATTATTATTATTATTTTATATATCCGGCTATTTCTGTGAAAGTTTGTTTACTTCTTATGAGATAGAAGCACATGACAGCAGTTAAAAATGGCACTTAGCAATGATATATGTGTTAAGCAGAGAGCAGAAATTTAATTTCTCACAGCTGAGGGAATTTTACTGATTGAGATTCATTATCATATGATAAAAGTGTATGGACACTTATGTGTTGTTGTGAGTACTGTAAGTCATTGGGGAAATCATGTGAAAAGTGGAGAAACTGAACTTCACTGTAAGTCTAGCAGTGGGCGAACAGCAACAGCTGATAATGAAGAAGAAGCTGAAAACCGTAAAAGGAGAACCCAAAAGCGCTTCTACACTACGACAATATGAAACTTTGCACATGACTTTCCATGAGCCTCAGAACATCAGAAGCCATTGGATGAATTGGATGCATTGTGCTTTGCACAGAGCGTGAAGCACTCTAAGACGCCGTCCGATGTGGAGGGCGCTATATAAATCCAAGTTGTTGTCGTTGTTGTTGCTGCTTCACCCTCCATACAGCCCAGTCTTGGCCCCAAAGACTTTCATCTCTTCAATGCTCCTTCAATCTCTCGCTCAATCCTCCTGCCTTGCCACTCTCCCCTTTTTCAAGTCCCCCTGAAGACCTTCCCTTTCAACCATGCTTATGGCTACTTCCTCCCACCCCATCGGAGTCAGGCTCCACCAGTGTTAAGTGCTCTGAGATGCTACCCTGCATGGAAGGCACTAAATAAGTGCAAGTTGTTGTTGTTGCTGAACATACATGAATTCAGATGACACCCAACTATACCTCTCTACTTCCACCCTTGACTCCAGGACTACTGCTGTCCTGACAAAATGTCTGTCAGACATCAAGTCCTGGATGAGAGCTAACTTTCTTCAGTTGAACATCAACAAGACCGAGACTCTCTTGATTGGCTCCTATCAGCGCCTCCTCACCTCAGGCGCTGACAGCATCACCATCCATGGTTGCACACTTCACCTTGCTAAGCCAGTCCAGAACCTTGGCATCTTGTTTGACCCTCAACTATCCTTTATACCCTACATCTGCGCCATGACCCCCTCTGCTTTCCCCCACCTCCGCAACATCGCCCATCTCCAACGCTGTCTCAGACACGCCTTCATTACATTGAGGTTTGACTTTGTAAACTGATTGCTTGTCGACCTCCCCAACTCCTCTCTCCATAGGCTGCAGATCATCCAGAACTCTGCAGCCTGTATCCTCTCCCACACCAGGCTCTGTGACTCTATCACCCTATCCTCGCCCGACTCCACTGGCTTCCCATCACACAGAGGATACAGTTCAAGATCCTGGTCCTCACCTTCAAAGCTTTCCATGGTCATAGCCCCCCCCACCTCTGTGACTCCTAACCTCCTACCATCCTGCTCACTCCCTCTGCTCAGCCTGATTCACGTCCCCTGCCTCGCTTGCCCCACTAATGGCGGGCGGGCCTTCTGCCACTCTGCCCCCACCCTTTGGAAATCCATCCCACAGTCCCGCCGCATCACTCCTTCCCTTGTCTCCGTCAAGACGCATCTCAAGACCCTCTTCTTCAACTGTGCTTTCAACCTCCCTGCTTCTCTCCCTGTCTTCCACCCCTCCAGTTCAGGTTCGAAACTCTGTCTGTCCAGCGCCTTGGGACGTCCTCCAGACGTGAAAGGCGCTTTACAAGTGTAATTTTGTTGTTGTTGTTGTTGAAGGATGGCCTAGGTGGACAACACTTCAAAAACAACAATGCTATAAGAAGGCAGTTCATCATTGGCTCCATAACAAAAGATACATTATTTTACCACAACAACATGATAGCATTGGTTCCACACTAGTGTGTAAATCATGATGGTGACTTTGTGGAAAAATAAGTGCAGTGGTGTATTTAAAAAAGCTTCTTTTGTGTCTGTGTTAGGTTTTGTAACTTAACAATTAATATTTTTTGAAAAAATAGAAAGGAGGCGTTACTTTTGAGAATTGCCACACATCAAAATGCACTACTTATTGCCCTTTATTACAATATTGTGTGTTTCTGATTTAATCTTATCAAATGCCCTCCTTAGTTGTTTATTTTTAGAGTATGACTACTGCTTCCAACTGCATCCACAGTTGGTCTAATG